CCCTACTAACAAATTCCCTACTTGGCTATTACTTTCGTGTCGTAGATTTAATCGCCATAGGGAATTACGACTCAAGCTGGTCAGCTGTGCGTTTACCTCGTTATTTCATTACGAAAGGTTCAATAAGCAAAGACCCTCGACGTATACTACTCTCATAACATTGGATTTATGAAAGGCGTACTATCGGGATGGGAAACAGTTTTCCCATCAAATCCCTCCCCTTTCCCTGCCTGAAAAGAAATTCCTCCAGCAGAGTAGGTACTTCCCTTATCAGCTGTCTGGAATAGCAATTCTGCGTCATCGGTCGCCAAAGGCGGTGGCAAAAAACTACAGTCAGACCAATTCAAACCCTCTCTGCTCTCCAACGGCTGAAGTTTACCCCCTCCCGTGCTTTAAGTAGTCCCAACCTGTTTGAGAATGAGACTCGTGGCATTTTGCAGCTTTACAGGAGTTCACAGAGATGCCCCTCCCCTTGTTCGGTTTCGATTTCAATGAACAGCTGTAAAAAGGACAATGTGGTTTATTATACGTTTTTCATCGGTTCCGTACGCGCAGCTGGTAAATATTTTACAAGCCATAGAACACTCACCGACTGAACGCTGTTCGATGAACGTAGCAATGGGAAGAGCCCATATGGAAGAGTCGATGAATTCAAGAAATTTCGCGCGAACGACTTTCGGATCTAACGACGATGACGAGCTTTTCCGCGATAGCCGGCGGAGCATTTAGAGAGGTATGTTCCCTGAACGAGCGAATGGGAGCGTACCCGAAGCTCACCCACAAAGTAATAAGCACACATAAAACACTCTTCAAAACAGACAACAGAGTTTTCAGAGGAACAGCGGGAAACAAGTTAAGAATCCAGTGACTACTGTCGCTTTTGGGGTACGGATAGCGGTTGTGATCAAAACTCTTTTTATCTCAGCCTTGAATTAGAAGCTACATGAATCAGTTAGCCCGCTGCAGTAGTGCATCGCATTTTTCTTCACAATTTTATTCCCATGGTCGCAGTTTTCATTCAGACACACTGTACGGCTGACTACAGTCGTCATCCGGGCACTTGATTAGGGCGGCAAGGGTCGCGACGCGGCTGCGGCGCGTCACGAGCGCGGCGATCAGCTGTTTCCAGCCTAATTTGGCCAGCTAATCTCGAGAAAAGCAGCCATAACAGT